GCCATGATTGTGCTGTCTGAAACCTTATATATATCATTTCGTATGAAATGGAGGGGAAAACCCAGCAGGCTCCAACACCCACAGGCATGCCTGAAGCAGGCAATAGGGCAATCGCAGCCATGCTGCTAAGCAGCAGGTCAGCATTGTCAGCCAGGTGAAACACAGCTGTCTTTGGTGCATGAAGGCTTTGTTAATATTAACGAGCTTATGGAACACAGCCTGCCTCCTGGGGTATGTGGTAGATCATTAGGGGATTTTAATTAGTCATCCCTGCAAACCTCTCCTCTTTAGGAAGTGGTTAATTCATGCAACAAAACCTCACCTGCAGGGACCATGCACCATTACCCAACAGGTCTACATAACATGCAGCTATGAGTCAGGGCTATGTTTATAACTGTATATATATACATGTGTGTATATATGTATGCATGTGTATATGTGTACATTTCACTTTGCCTGATGCAATGAATTGGGTTGTTTGACATTGCAGTGCTGTTGACAGTATATATATCACAGCAATAGCAACAATAACGATCTTTGCTGGTCATACAAGCCTGGAAAGGGAAGGGGCTTGCTGATCTGGTGTTTTTAGGTAGGCACCAAAAAGGATAAAAAATGAGCAAACGCTAGAGGGAAACTATGGTTAACTACAATGTCACATTGATCCACAGCTGTTCCTGGAGGCTTTTGTCTGCAGCAGTGTGTGACCTCTTGCTGCAGCCCTGAATCAAGGCTTTCCTGTCTCCTGCCCTATTGAGGCAGTGGAATGAGAGGGAGAAGGGTGCAAAACAAGAAAGGGTGTGGTAAAATTCATGTAGAGCTAAGAAGTGCTTAAAAGAGCCACCCAGGTTGATCCAGACTGGTTCAGAGCAGTCGTTGACCCCTACTGTTTACATGTAACAGGGAGAGGCCACTGTGGGAGATGGGACTACAGGCAAAAAGGTATTTAGGTGCCTGATGAGCTGATGAAGCAGACCAGAGAGAGGCAGAGATGTAAAGGGACTTATGCAGGGCAGGTATTAGTAGGGGAGGAGCAGACCCTCTGTCTCTGAGATCAAGAGGGAACTTTGCAGAGTTTGCAGTGGGTCTGAATGCTGCTGAGCTGGACTGAGAGCAAACCAGCCTTGCAAGGGACACGAGAAGCACCATGCAGATAAAGCAACCCTGGCAGGGAAGGTAGTGGAGGCCCTGGGGTATGGGTGGAAAAACAGTCCCACGGGATGGAAAATGCGTACAGGCTTGCAGACGTCACTGGCTGCAATATCAGGATTAACTGGCTCCACCCTGTGCAACCCCAGATAACTTCTGTGATTGCTCCAGCATCAAAAAAAAGTATGAGAACAGGATCATTTTATCCCAGTACACAGGCAGGCAGCACAAAAAGTGTCTCTGCTAGGCTCTTGGTTTGAAAGCCCTGCACGCGGGGTTGGCTTAGCCTGGCAGCCCCTTGCCCATGCTCTGCCCTGCCCACGCCACCATCACCCTGTGTGCCTGTTGGGGCTGAGCCCTGGGAGAAACACGAGTGGGAGCCTTGGAGCCTTCCACTTGCAAACAACAGTTTGGATACTGAAATTAGGGGAAAAAAGGCTGATTTTTGGCACTCTCTCTGCTGCAAACAGGCAGTGATAACCACTGCCACCTCTTCCTCTGAGTTAGCAGAGGAAAGCTTGGGAAAGCTTGGCTTTCTTGCACCATGCCTGCTGTTACTCAGCGTCTCTCTGGGTTGCCTGACCCTGTTTGTTGTTGTCCGGTGAGCCCAGCAGGAGGCATACGCGTGTGCAGGAGGTGGTGGGCTGGATAGGAGTTGCGTTACCACTGTGCACAGCGCACCCAGCAACACACCAACACCAGTCTGGTGGCTCTGCTCCGTGTGCCGGGGTGCTCAGCCTGTGTGGGAACCCCATCCACATCCAAAAACATGGTACGTGGCCTTTCAGCAAAGAGCTTTTTTTAAAAAATGAAGTATCTTAAAAATGGCAGGTGGGTGTAGCAGAGGGGAAATTGTAACATGGGGCAGCAGCAAATCCCTAGCTAGAGACTAAGAACAATATAGGTCTAGTTCACAGATTTTAAACTATGTATTTTAAATACAATTGTTTAATTATTGTTTAGGACACAGCTAGGAAAACAAGCAAACACCACTTCTGGAAATGATCTGGGTTTAGGTCAGAGCAAGCCACCACAGAAAGCAGCAGTGTTGTGATATTAAAGTGTGTCCAGTGTTTACCGTGTATTGTTTGAAAACAGGCTAATTCTGTTTCCCTAAAACAGGTACACTCCAGAGGGATTTACAAATTCACTCAGAACAGGTTATTGTAAAGAGTTGCAATGCAACACTTGTAGAAGTCTCCCTTACCAAAAGCAGATGGTGAACAAACTGGCAAAAATGGGATTTGTGAAATTTGGCAAAGCAGTAGATAGGAGTTCTGGTTGGGGAGGGAAAAGGAAGGTTTTTTGTTTTCTGCCACATAAGAGAAGCTTTGACCTGCTCCCCGATGCCCGCAGTGTGTGCAGGCTGGTGGGGGCTGCAGCGGAGCCGGGGAACAACTGCAAGGTTAGCCTTAACACATCCCTTTTGCCTTCCAGCCCTTTTCTACAGACATTTACCACCCACTGCACCAGCCTGTGCCCGGGGCTGCGGGGATGCCAGGGGCATCCCCAGGACTCATGATCCCAGTGGACATCCCCCCCTTCCACTTCCAACCCCGCTGGGTTGGCATGGACTGGCGTCGCTTCAGCGCCATCAGCGTGGAGGGAGTGGCCCGGGAAGTGGACGTGGCCACGCTCCAGGAGCACATCACCAGCGTGACCTTCTGCAACCTGGATGAGGAGCGGTGCCCCCACTGTGGGCAGCCAGCAGACCAAGCTGAGCATTGAGTACCTGCTGCACTACCAGGAGCGCCTGGGGACCAGCCTGACCATGCATGTACAACGCCTGCAAGCTGCCCATGCCGAGCTGGCTTGCACCCAAGCAGCAGGCAGCAGAGCAGGCAGCGCAGCTCCAGGGGGCAAAGGAGGAGAGCAGGAGGTGGAAGAAGCTGATTGCCATGCAGCAGCTCCTCCTGCAAGCTGGCCCCAACACCTACTGCAAGGTGCATGGCAGAAAGGTGTAAGGGCTGTAAAGTGCGTCGCCATGCAGGATGCTCTTTGCTGCATCCTGCCTTTGTAGCCCTGCTGCGGTTACACCTTGGCTCCAGAAAAGGTGCTGGCCAGCCCTACTGCTTTCCCTGGTGCTGGTTCATCACCTTCATGGAGACTGAAAAGTCCCTGCTAGGGAAGCTCCCTTCTTTTGTGCAAACTACAGGTAGTCAGAGCTGCACAGAGTGTGGGAGAGGGGGTCTGTAGAGGGCTGGCTGGGGAGATCTCACGAGATCCCTGTGTGGTATCTCATGCCAGGGAGACTTTAGACATCCTCCAGACCAGTGAAAGAATTCTGGATGTTCCTGGATTTGATGATGATTTTGCTTTTCCCCCCACCAAGCTTTTCCTACCATTTCAG